TGGCATATTGTATGGGAATGTGACTTTTACCGAAACAAAGACGGATTTAAAGACACTGAAAAACGTATAAGATTAGAACATAAAACTATTAATAAATATGGGTTCATCGATTTAGTAGAAAATAAAGCTATGTGGTGCGCGTTCTGTTTGAAACGTTCACATTTTAAATTTATTTTAAGAGAATATTGCTCCGATGAGGTTCATGAAATTTTAGAGGGTGTATAATAAACATTTGTCATTTAAGTAGTTATGTATTAAGTTTAAGTAGTTTTTAAAATGTTTACTTCACTCTTATACCACCAATACAAAAACTACTTATATAATGGTGGGTATCCATGTTGCAAGTCATTTCAATAAAATAAAAAGTTTACTTCACTCTTGCTTGTAGTATTTTATTTCAAAACTAGTTTCGAGAGTGTTCTCTCATCATCAGTTGAAAACTGTACATGAAATTACAAAGATTTCTTGTATTAGCACGAAAAATAGCATCAAAATGAATTAAAGAAAATTGAAAGAGATAAAACAAAAAAGAAATAAAAATATATAAATGGCAAAAACTTACGGTCAAATTTCGAGACTTGTACAGTAAACGTCGAGGAAAGCATCATATTATTCACGAACATATTAAAAACAAACAAAATCAAAACATCAGTTTTTAACAAATCCTATAAAAGTCATAATGAACATTGGAACATTATTCATTCTATCAGAAAAAAACTTGATGAAGGCGATGCCATATTCGTTAAAGCTGATAAGGGAGCCGGTGTGGTTATTTTGGATAAATCTCTATACCTAGATAAAACATATGATTTTATGAAGCAGAATAATTATGATAAAATTAATTTTGACCCCTTGAATAGTTTTGTTAAAAAGACACGGCATATAATCAATGATTGCAAGGAGACTTTAATAGAGTACACACCATACTTAAAAAGTTTAAAAGATTCCCAAAGTAATAACAAAATGTTTTTCAATAGTTCAATGTTCATGTATATGAATCCCTCCATTCCTAGACTTTACTCCCTTCTGAAATTGCATAAAGACAATATATCTATTCGCCCCATTATTTCTTTTAAAAACTCTCCTACCCCAATATTAGCCAATTTTATGCTAAATATTTTCAAAATGATAGATTTTAAACCCAAATTTTCTGTTCAGAACTCAATTCAGTTTATAAACATGATTAAAGATATAAAATTTAATAAAAAGATGATGGTTTCTTTTGATGTGACCAATTTATATTCAAAAATTCCTGTTGATATAACCCTTAATTTGGTAGATAAGCTTTTTAGAAAGCATTTCAATAATAATGAAAATGTCGTTAATGATTTGAACTTAATTTTACATCATGTAGTAACTGAAAATTTTTGTTATTTTAATAAAAAAAATTATGACATAAAGGTTGGCTTTTATTTAATGATAAAAATCCTTATAATAAAAACGTTTTTAAGTGGGTAGGTATGTAGATGATGTCTTTTGTGTTTGGGGGGGTGACTCAGATTCTTTAAATAATTTTCTTAATCAATTTTTGAATAATTTGCATACAAAATTAAACTTTACATTAGAAAAAGAAGAAAACAGAAAACTTAATTTTTTGTTGAATAAGTAGATCCATTCTTTCTTTAACCAGTGCGGTAATTAAATAAATTCGAAAATTGTGTTACAACTGGTTTATTTTAAGTTTAAGTTCAACCAGGATCTCAATCAGTGCAAAACCAGTTATACAATCATTAACTGGAGTTCTCTTCTGTTGAGAATAAGGGGAAAGGGAAATGGGTGAGGGTATTATAGATGAGGAGGTGTGATATCAATCTTAAGGAAAAAAATAAATGGGGGAAATAAACAGGGTAAGGTAGGAAAGGTGTGATTGTCATGGACCTCAATCAGTGCAACTCCAGTTATACAATCATTAACTGGAATTCTCGTCTGGTGAGGAATGGGGAAAGGGGCAGGGGTAGGGGTAAATAGGTGTCTGTGAAATTAGGGGGGATCATTAGGGAATGGTTTCTTTAGCATCCTATATAGGGGTGGTCTAGTTAGGTCTATTTGGTCATTAAGGCATTCGATATTCTTATTCTGAAATTTAAATGTCTCGATTTCGTAGGCCTCAGTGAGGGTCATTTTAGTTCCTTTATCCATTCTGTGTAATAATTTTACACCCGTATCTATATCAAAACTATGTGGGTTGTTGAGAAGATGTCTTCCGAAATTAGATTTGATGCTACCCTTGTGTTCGTTAATTCTCTGTTTTATTAATCTTCCAGTTTCGCCGATGTACACTGCACCACAGGTGTCGCAATTCAATTTGTAAACACCACTATTTTCGAGGAGGTTGGTGTTGTCTCTCTTGTGGTTTAATAAGTTGATCATGGAGGTGTTGGATTTGAATGAAATATTTATTTTGTACCTTTTGAAGATTTTTAGGATAGGGGCTACAATGTGACCCGGGCAAGAAATAGATCGGTAAGTTGGTTCTGAGGTTGGTGTATTGTTGGTGAGTGTCGTCAGCTGCCTATTATTGGTTTTTGTTTGAATTCTTCTAATTAAATTGGAGACATAATTTGGGAGGAAGTTATTGTTGTGTGCTATTGCCTTAATGATCAATAGTTCTTTTTCTCTGTCTATATTGTTGAGAGGAGTTGTCATGGATCGGTGAATGTATGCATGAAATGCCGCATTTTTATGGGAATGATGGTGAAAAGAAGTATATGGGATGCCTGTATCAGTTTGTGTGACTTTCCTGAATATATCAAACTCTAGTTTGTTATTTCTGTTAATCAATTTAAGGTCAAGGTATGGTAAAATGTTGTTTTGTTCCTGTTCCGTTGTAAAATGAATGTTTGTGTGAAGGTCCTTAAGGAGTGAATGCAAATCGCTGACGTTGTTGTGTATGTTGGTCTTCCAAATGACCAGGACATCATCCACATATCTTTTCCAAAAGATGATATTTTCGGTTATGTGATTTCTTGTGTGGAGTAAATTGTTTTCAAGTTTGTCGAGAAAAAAGTCTGCCAGGAGTCCACTCAAAGGGGAGCCCATGGGTAAGCCGTCCGAATATTTGTATAGTTTATTGTCGAAAATGCAAGTATTTTGGGCTAGGCAAGTAATGAGAAAGTTTTGCAGATGGTCAGCGTCTTCTGAGTCTAGTTTGTTCTTAAAATAATCATGAGTTATGGTGAGAGTCTCCGAAACTGGGATGTTTGTATACAGATTGGTGACATCAAATGACACTAATTCAAAGTTGTCGGGGAAGCGTAGGTTCAAAAGTTCTTCGATAAGATGTTGTCTGTTTCTTATGGTATGTATTGGTTTGAAATCCAGGTGAGATAATATAAATCTGTTAACAATGTTCGCCAATTTGTGGGTGCTTGAGCCTATGGACGAAATTATTGGTCGTATAGGGTTATTAGGTTTGTGTAGTTTTATGAGGGAGTAGAGATTAGGATTCTTCGGATTCATTGGTAGAATATTTGAGATTTTAATATTGTATTTATCCAAAAACGAAGTTTTTGTATGTAAGGTATTGACAGGGTTAGACTTTATTTCTGTGAAATTATTTTGTGATAGGAAAGTTTCGGTTTTCTGTTTATAAATCTTTCTATCTATAATTACTATACCCGAATTCTTGTCTGCGTTGGTGATAATTGCATCTCGTGATTGGATTTTCTTTCTAATGGAATTAACAATTTTCATCTCTGCATTGAATATTCTTCCATTATTGTTCTTGTGTTGTTGACGGTTTTCAACCCTCTTTAAGAAATCGATGATGTCCAGCCGAAGGTCCTTCTCTTGTAGATTATATCTTGCCGCCACTTCTAGTTCTATGCTCAGGTGACTCAGTCTAGGGTGGTTCGGCAAAGCAGTAGAGAATAAAGGCCGGTTCTGGACCGGAAGTGCTCCCCAGCTCCCCCTGATCCTGCGCATGCGCGCCGGAAGTGACGTCACGACATCCTTAAGGATCATCCTTAAGGATCGGTCGACGGTGGCGCCACCTAGCGGTACATCCTTAAGGATCGGTCGACGGTGGCGCCACCTGTAGCATCCTTAAGGATCGAAGGTTGCTCCCCCTGCTCCTTAAGGATCGGTCGACGGTGGCGCCACCTGTAGCATCCTTAAGGATCGGTCGACGCCCCTTCAACCCCATCTTAGTGTCCTACTGACCCCCTTCAACCCAACCCAACCCAACCCCATCTTAGTACACTATTGAACCCCTTCAACCCCTTCAACCCCATCTTAGTACCCTATTGACCCCCTTCAACCCCATCTTAGTGTCCTATTAACCCCCTTCAACCCCATCTTAGTGCCCTATTGACCCCGTCGACGTCGTATGCTTATCAGCGGAAGTTGCTCCCCCGTGAAATAATATTAATAATAATAATAATAAT